TAGGACTATTTTTCGGTTGTATTGACGGCTTTGGTCTGGGGTAGGATATTATATGGAATACAAGTGGTTACACCCTTCCTTAAGCATTTCACATTTCATTTCTTGGCTCACTTTTGCCAAATCCTTAGAGGCATTACTTTTTATTAAGGTTAGAGAGACTTGCCATCACTCTTTATTGACAATTCATTCTTTTTCCCCTTTGATGTTTATGCTAAAGGTACTTGCCTCACTTACTTTCATCAATCTCCCTTTTTGTCCCCTTTTTGGGCTTCTTTTTCTTCTCATCACTTTCTTTTCTTACTTTCTCGTTCATGGAGATTATTTCTTTTCTCTCTTTTTAATACCTTGATACCTCTTTTAGATTTCTCAACTTTCGCCCCCATACTTAGGCTTTGATCCACTTACTACATATGAGTGCTTAGGAGGATTCAGGTGCCACAAGAAAACATGTTCAAAATTGGTAAAGACTTGTAGCATGGTTATCAACAGAGAAAGGCTAAAGGATCAAAGGGGTTGACTAGGGATAACGATCATATGGTGGCAATAGAAAGCTCAAATGGTCCAAGTAAAGCCTGCAATCATCTTTCAAACCAAGCAAACTTAGAATTTTACCTTGAAGCACATTCGAGGTAAATTCTAGACTATTTCCTCAAATACTTGGACTAGCAATAAAATTGTATCTCCCCACTCATGCAAAAAGACCATAAAATAGGATAGAGTCTAAGACCCAAAACAACCCCAATCAAGTTAAAGATCTCTATGGTCCACTTAACCGCCTAATGATTATCAAAGACAACTCAAGAGTTTCAAAGTCACTTTTGCTAGAGTTACTTCTTTCAAAGACCTTGTCTCAAACAATAAGCATGCAACTAAGTATGTTGGTGCACATGAAGCATAAATAACTCGTTTTCATAGACTACTTGATTAGGGCTCTTATTCGTTACTACTTACTATTATTATACCTAAACACGAAACGAACTCATTCTCTTAAGAAAGTTGTCACACTATCCATCCTCGAGAAGAGTCACCTGGTCCACACAAGAAATCACTTTTGAAAATAACCGTGGCATTAAGAAAATCAAAGGCTTATTATTGACAAAAGAAGGAAAATCATAAAATTTATATACAATCCCTTTAACTTGTCATGATTTTTCATTTAAACACTTAAACTAACATGTGTTCCTATTAGACACTCCAATCCAATTAATATGTACTTATTGAACATAAACAGTGACTTGGCACATTGTGTGACGTAAACCCTTTTTGGGCACGTTAACTAAAAAAATTATACACTAAATCTTTTCTTTTCTTTCTTTTATAAAACGTTTCCTTTTCCAACCTCCAATATAATATGTAAGCATTGTTACTTTCATTTATTGCCACCGTAAGCCAATCCTTACTCCTCCACTGTTATCTCATTAGTAGTTTTTAATTATGGACTCCCAAAAGATAGCCTCACCCCCTTCGCCCTGTCTTCAGATTTAATATTCTATAGTGATTCGTTTTTGTAAGGGCCCCGTAAAATTTTACCTAGAACTCGGGCTTTGTGGTGTCGAGGTAGCCTAAAGTGTTTGAGGATTGTAGAAATGCTTTGCGGCTCGCAAGCTCGCCTAGTACGGACTCTTTGAGTTGTACTGTGCGTCGGGGAGTTTGAAAGGATGATTTTTGCAAAACATAGCATTTCTGCGGTGCACTATGCGACTGCAGAACCTCTTCGCGAATTGTAGATCGGTCGCGGAATGCAGCAGGACCAAAGCCATTTTTAATGTCATTTTGCAGTCCACTATGCAAACGCATAATCATTATGCGGGCCGCATAATTCATTGCAGGTTTACCATGAAGAATTCTGGTGGAAAATTTCTCAGCACGTTGTATGACCGCATATTTGTTCTGCGGGCTGCATAACTGCTATAGACTTGACGAGGCCAACCCAATTTTGGGACCAATTTTGTGGTCCATTTCGCGTGCCGCATAATGTTGTGTGGTCCACTATGCAACAACAGAGTTGAGTTTGGAGGGTCCATTTTATAATTTTATAATTCGACTACATTTGGATTAAAAGTTATTGGGGCTCGTTTAGAAGGCAAACATCTGGTGTTTAGAAAGAGGGGACGGGAGCTAGAGAGAGAAGGAGGGGCACTAACATCTCCATACATCAAATCCTTGATCAAGCCTTGAAATTCAACAAGGAAACCTAACAAGGTCTTCATCTAAGAGGTAAGATTCTACTCCCTATCCCTCAATTTCGGGATTGGACTGAAAGTAGGTGATGAGAAGTGTGATTCTTGAGTGTGGGAGTTGTCCCTTGTGCATGCACGTACCAACAAGGGTTGTGGAGAGGTTGTTGAACTCAAATGGGTGACTATTGGATTTTGGGATGAAGTAAATCCACCATAAAAGAACCTTAAAATCATATTGCACATCTAGTGCTTGATAAAATGCCTAAATGGGCTAAACCCATAAATCTCTTCCTAATTATGGTTCAATTTTGTCATCTCTCTAATAGATTGAAGTTGCAAAGATTTTCGGAATGTTGTAGTAGATTAAGGAAATCTCAAGTGCGGTATGCCGTCTTAATTCTCTCATAGGATCGAATTCCATGATGTTTTTGTAAGATTCAAGTAAGGTTAACCTGAGTTTCTAAATCCCATGTTACGAGTTATTCCTAATAAATTTGATTATTCCTAATAGGCATTGTGTTTGAAATTATATGCACAAAATGTGTTTCAATTGCTCTTATCACATTATGCTCTCCTTCGGGAATATATTCAAATATGGTTTTTGTATTTAAAATGTTATGCTTTAATTCGTGTTTCAAATGAAAGTTTATTATGTGTAACATGGAAAGAAAGCTCAATGTGCTTAGGACTCATATTGCTCATATACATATTTAGAGTCTTGATTCCAAAATGCTCTTATTTTTGATAACTTACGATAATGCTTGAAAATGGAAGAAGTGGATATAAAGATGTTGTCATCGTTCCAAGAATGAGAATTACGCTTGTGGCCAATAGTGCCAATAAAATGAAGAGGATGTATGGAAGACTATGAAATCAACTGTAACTCCTTTATATAATAAATGTTTGGGAGTATCGTTTAGTCACTTAGGAAGGATAGGTTAAAATAACCTAACCCTAAAACTATACGTGCCGATATAGGAATGATTGAGGGGTTACCATATTGATGTGATGAGATGATTCCCCTTAAATGGGGTGAGGTTGATGTGTTGAGATTATTCCTCTTAATTGGGGTGAGATGAGTTCTAGTGGAAAGTGATGTTGACCCACACGACATTGTAGTGAGATGGCTTAGCCGATCGGACTCCATATTACACACATGGTGTTGTTGTGATTGGATGTTTTTGGGTGAGACGGATTAGCTGATCGGGCCGTGATTGGACTTCGTACTAAAAATATGGTGGTGTTATTGATACTAAATATCTCCCAACCTAAAAATATTGATATTTACTTGAAAAATTGTCTTTCTCTTAACTTGACACTTTTATATTATTTGAGGCTCTCATTGATCCTATGTTGTTTCTCCTTGTACTGTTACTCGATTATTTGAAAGGGTGTTTACTCTTACATACTAGTAATATTTCATATGTACTAACGTCCCTTTTGCCGAGGGCGCTGCATATTTAATAGATGCAGGTGATTCCACAGCAGGCGGCATTGATTAGTGATAGCGGCACACTCTCTCTTTAGATGACTTGGTGAGCCCCATTTCATTTTGGGGTCTTGTATATTTTGTTCCTTATGTATAGTGTTACTCATTGTATCCATTAAAGGCTCCATACACATAGTGTGTGTTTGCATTTTGAATTGGGTAAGTCAACTTGAAATGTTGTACTTGAAACATATGATCCACTTTTAAAGCTACGACTATGTAAAATATTTTGGGAAATCTTGAATGAATTTCTAATGGTAATGAAATTGGAGATGTTCATGTAATCTTCGCATCGTCTAATTAAAGGAATACATCTTTACTTTACTCATGGGTAAGGCAAGCAGAAAGCATCAAGTAGGCTTGCTTGATTGGGGTATCTCGGTTGAACGCCGATCGCGCTCCCCGAGGTCGGGGCGTGACAGTTTTGTTTTTGTTTTTTGTTTTCAATTCTCTTTCTCTAGTTCATAGGAAAAGCAATGCGGTCCAATTTCTTTGAATTCTCAGAAACCCAATTATCCATGAATTTGTATGTCCAGTTATGAAAGCCACTTTACCAAAAGAAGAAAATAAAAAAGTAATGAAAGAATTAGCGATGGAATTAGCCATTGGTAAGAACTTGTCACCAAAAACCTCCATTTTGTACTTTATCTTCTTCGTCGACTCTTGAAGTAAAACTATACTTCTTCCTCCTCCACCGATGGTGCAAAGAATGGGGGTGCTGAAGAAGAGTGGAGTGATGAAGAATGAGTGTGATGTGGGTGAGTTGATCATAAAATTATAGACAATAGAACGTTGGTAATGAGATGTATGTAACGGAAAATGATGGTGGTGGACGGGTGGCAATTTAGCGGTAGTCGCTGCACTCGCCGTCGATGTGTGTTGATTACATTGATTTTTCTTTATTTGGTGGTTGGATTTTCTTTTTGTAGCTAAAATATACAAATGAGGGAAGAGAGGAATTTTCTTTGTTACTGTACACGTGTCAATGATTTATTGGACACTTTTCTATGTCAGCGCGTTGTGAGTCACGTGTTTTACTTTTAAGAGAGATTGTGTATTAGGTGTTCAATAGGTACATATTTATTAGAGCTGGAGTGTCTAATTGGAAGAAATCTTAGTTTGAGTATTCAAATGAAAAATTGTGACAACTTTAAGGGCCCGCTTATATATTTGGCCTTTATACTACCAAAATAATCAAAATTAAAGATTATTACTAAATGTAACAAACTACTAAAAATAAACAATTCTCTACCCCCCTCCAAATAAAAAAAACATTGTCCTTAATGCTTAGCAAAATAAGATCAAAGAGCGGAGAGGGGTGAAGAAACTCCCTAAGTGTCCTCAGTAATCATGGTATCAATAGCAGCATTAGTCTGAGGCAATTCAACTAAAAGAATAGTGTAATCATCCTCTGCGAGAGCTGCCTGAGAAATGAACATATCTTGTACCATATCAGCAGTGTTGGATGCAAGTCAAAGCTCCTCAGTCTGAGCAGCGGGATCCTCATGAGAAGGTTGATCTGTATGAGAATGGTTGGGGTCTAGTAGCATGTCAAATGGCAAGTTTCCGGCCTCGGCTATCTTAGTCACCTCATCTCGGAGAGAGTCAAATGACTTCTTGCTGGCCTATGTCTTTCTCATCCTCTTCACTTGATTGGTCAATCGCTCAATCACTACATTGTGTCGTACCAGTGTGTCCATAATCACATACTGGTTGTCCAAGACCTTGGTGATCTACATGTCAATGTTAGAAGAGTCCGGTTGAGTAGATGTATGCCCTGCAACTATGCTAGAGATCTCGGACAACTTTAAAGTAGTTGGTTGCATCTAGTTGTTGAGACTCACCAACGTCTGAGAAACTCGTAAAGCAGATAGTGGGACCGTAGGCGAAGAAACTAGCCTTAGAGCTGGTGTAAGCAATGAAGGAGGGGATGACGGTGGCTTAGGAACAACAACTATAGCACTGGTGGAAGGCTCAGTTGAAGTGGAAGGGATCTCAGAGGGACCTGGAGCTACTACTACCGGCTCATCAGACTAGCCAATAGTAGTGGGAAGCTAACTACTTTTCTTTGGATTTCTTTGGTCTTGCAACTTATACATATCAAAGGGACTGGGTGGCTTGACCTTCGTTTCAAATGGTCCGGACTCCACCTTAGAGTCTGTCAAGTACTTAGTGATAGTGCTGAGGTAAAGGTAGGAAGTGTTACCCTGCTATGCCACAAGAGAGATATTGGACGACATCAGAGCACCCCATATTGATTGAGTACCCGGACATTATAGAAGCCACCCGTGTTGCTTTTGTCAGTGGCAAGTTGTTCCCATTCACGCATGGGTCAAGTCTGGTGCACAAAAAGTTTTGCTCGCCTTTTGCCTCAAAACTCATATTCTGGTGGAGGATTGACACTTCGGCACCAATCTAAGAGGGAGTAGGCCCAAGTTTAAGAATATCTGCGAGCCATGGTCTAACCTCCTCCTTCTCAGCCAACTTGGCCAAATACTCTTTCGGATCCACATCTTCAAGTTCGAGGTAGGTGTTTAGGGTGTGTTGATCAAACTTTATTTTAAGGTTGCTTACTTTAGTGACCTTTGTCCCTTTAACAATATGTTTCGTGTTGGTGTAGAATTTTCGGACAAGGTGTTCCTTGATATCTAGCAGCTTCTCTGTAAACTGTATCCACCCCTTCCTATTTGTAAATTGCTCCAAGACTGCTGGATTGTATATGTCTAAATCCTTGATGAGGAATTCCCTTTCATGAGTAAGGGATCGTTCCTTCACTATATTTGGAAATCTGCATAGGGTTGTAGGCTCAAAAACTGGTCTTCTCAAACAACCTTCTTCTTTGTTCTAACTAGTCTATCTTTTGCAACTGTTCTCCCTCTTCCGTCATCTAAGGCATCATCAGAATGAGAGTTCTAAGCAGTTGCATTTGACTCATGAGTAGCGCTAGTTGAGCCCTAAGAGGTGCTTTGTGATGTAGAAGGTACAACTTGGGGCTCAAATTGCCCCTGTGGCGTAGACTGCTCCTCATTGTGCTCTTCAAGTAAAGACACTGAATTTTCTTTGGAGGCCTCCCTAGACGAGACATAAGAACTTGACATTGAGAGGCTTCTACCTCTCCCCCAGCCTGCAGTTATTTTCTATGATATGGCCTTCTGTGCACTTGGATGCATGGAACTTCTACCTCTTCCTTTCCCTTATTCACACCTTCCTTTAGATGACTCTCCTCTTCCTCTTAATCGCACCATTGTCTGTGTATGCACAAAGAGAGTTGTCAGTTGATATACAAGTTGCAAAGTAGTTAAGATTCATGTTATCTTTGGAGGACAACATAGAAGCACTAAGGTTTCAAGTTTGTAGCATGCAGTAGATAGGGGTTCACGTGCAGTCAGCACAATTCCAAGTATAGCCACATTATTGCATAAAAGTTTCAAGTCCTCAAAGAGAAGTCTCAAATGGACAATGCAGACCTACATTTGCGGCCACAAAAATCCAATTATGGTCCGCATAATTATTTTTGTGATCCGCACTTGAGTAAAAGTACTCAAGTCTTTAGAGAAGAAGTTCTCTGATTGACAGTGCGGACCTCACTTTGCGTCCATAAAATTTCAACTGTGGTGTGTACAATCAAGGCAGTAATCAGTGTTACCAAAATCTAAAGTTTGTAGACCGCATAATTTCAAGTGCGTTCTGCACATTCAAGAGTAGTGATGATGACAACATTTTTACCTAGGTTATGCAGTTATGTGTTCAATCCTACTGAATAATATGGTAAAGGTATAATAATCAACAACCCAAACCTATCTAAGCATGCTTTTATAAATACCCAATGTTAAACTACCCCACATAGACACAGTTAAAGGATGTAATCACAAATGGCCTAAAAAGAAGTTAAAAAGCAAAAATAAATTTTTAAAAAAGAAGAAGATTTGAAGTGATGCATACCGGATTGTGCTAGTGTATTAAGATCAAACGCAGAGTGGGTGGATGTTTTGTGATCAAAATTACACCAACTAGATCCGTCATAAAATATCAATTTGGAAGTGAAAGTGGCAAAAGTACAAATGGGAGACTACTGTTCTATTTGTCAGATGAGGGTAAAGGTGAAAGAGGACGAGTGCGGGCGTAAAATTCCAAATGAGGTCCGCACTCTATTATCTGGGTTGTGGAGAGCATGAAATTGTGTGGTTTGCACTTTTATCAAGTGCAGCCGCACATCTGTCAATCTTGTTTCAATGACTTCTCTAATATTGCTCTTTTGCAACCCCAAAATTTGTAATAGTCCGCAAAATTAGCTTCGCATTGTTAGGAGAAAAGTTCAGAGGACCTTCAATTTATCATCTGATCATCTTCTTGAAAATGCGGTTCATAGGTCAAATCTGTAGCCGCAAATCATTTTTTGTTGTCTGCATCCCCTGTTATGAGGCCCCATTAATAAAAGTGCGGTCCGCATTTTCCCAAGAAGGGTACAGCTTCAGCCATCATCTCAATATCTAACAAGTTCACTGCAGCGCACTTCAGATCTAGTTAAAAACAAGAAACAACATCTAACTAAAAGAGAAAAAGGAAAAGAACTTGGGTTGCCTCCAAAGAAGCACCTTATCGTGGTACAACGCAATATCATAACATCCTCAATTGAAGTAAAGAACCGCCACCACGTGGCTTTCAATAACTTTTTCCAAGCAGTGCTTCACCCTATGACCATTGACCCGAAAGATTTTATTGTTCTTGTTCTTCAAGTCCAAAGCACCAAAGGGTGTCACACCAACAATTTCAAATGGACCACTCCACTTTGACTTGAGCTTTTTGGGAAACATTCTCAACCTTGAGTTGAATAGCAATACTAGATCACCGGCCTTGAACTCCTTGGTCCAAATATACTTGTCATGAAGGTATTTTATATTTTCTTTGTACAAGGACAAACTCTCATATGCATGGTACTGGAATTCATCCAATTCATTCAAATGTGCAACCCGCAAGTTAGCAACTACATCCCAATCAAGATTCAATTTCTTCAAAGCCACATTGTGTTGTGCTCCAATTCCAACAAAAGATGACAAGCTTTTATGAACACCAACTGGTATGTAGACATTCAAGTAGGTGTTTTGTAAGTAGTTATATATGCCCATAGAGCATCATCAAGCTTCTTAGACCAATCCGTCTAATTTTCATTGACCGTCTTGGACAAAATACTCTTTATCTCACGGTTAGAAACTTCCACTTGATGATAGGGAGTTGTCACTTTGTGAGTGACATCATACTTTTCAAGTAAAGTGTCAAAAAAGCCCTGTTGCAAAAATGCAACCCTCCATCACTTATGAGTGCCTGTGGAGTCCCAAACCTTGTAAAAATATTTATTTTCAAGAAAACCACCATACTTATAACCTCATTATTGTGTAAAGCAACAGCTTCAACCCGCTTAGACACATAATCCACCGCGATCAAAATATGGGTATCACAAAAAACTCATGAAAGGGCCCATAAAGTCAATACACCAAGCATCAAAGATATCAATCTCCAAAATGGTTGTAAGGGGCATCTCATGTTTCTTTAAAATTCCACCGGCCCTTGGATATTTATCACATCTTTTTACCAACTCATTTGCATCTTTATAGAGAGTAGGACAATAGAAACCACAACTTATGACTTTAGCCGCCGTTCTTTCTCCACCATTATGACCACCACAGGGCAAAGGATAACAAGCCCCAAGAATATCATTTTGTTCCTCCTCCGGCACACACTTCTAATTACCCCATCCGTGCAAATTCGGAAAAGATATGGTTCATACTAATGGTAGTATTGACAATCTCTCTTGATCTTCTTTTTTGGTTCGAAGAGAACTCATCCAAAATTATAACACTCACAAGAAAATTTGGCAAATTCGCAAACCATGGTACCTCTTTCATTGAAAATGCTAAGAGTTGCTCATTAGGAAAATAGTCGTTGATTTCAAGGCCATCATGTGGCCTTCCCTCCTCCTCCAAATGAGACAAGTGGTCTGCCACTTGATTTTCACTTCCATTATTGTCTTGGATGTCAATATCAAACTCTTTCAACAAAAGTATCCATCCCATCAAGCGATCTTCAGATTTCTTTTTGCTCATAAGATAGCAAAGTTCCGCAAGATCCGTGTGGAAAATAACTTTTGCACCCATCAAGTATGGGTGAAACTTCTCAATAGTAAACACAATAACAAGGATCTCCTTCTCCGTAATGGTATAATCGACTTGGGCACTATTCATTGTCTTACTAGCATAGTAGACCGTATGGAAAACTTTGATGATATGTTGCCCCAAAATAGGCCCAACTGCTACATCACTTTCATCACACATGAGATCGAACGGCAAAACCCAATTTGGATATGTAATAATAGTAGTGGTTGTCAACTTGAGATCCAATTGTTCAAAAAACCCTCGTACAATCATCATTAAATGGAACTTGGCATCTTTCTCAAGTATTTGCACAAAGGATTCACCACTTTAGAAAATCTTGGATAAATCGCCGGTAGAATCCCGCATGGCCTAAGAAAATCCTTACACCCTTCACCGAAGCGGGGGTGGAAGCTTAGATATAACTTCAATCTTCGCCTAATCCACTTCAATATCATTCTTTAAAATCTTATAGCCAAAGACAATGCCTTCCTCAACCATGAAATAATATTTCTCCCTATTGAGTACCAAATTTGTTTCCTCAAATCTAGCCAACACCTTGTCCAAATTAGAAAGACAATCATCAAATGAATCCCCTACCACCAAAAAGTCATCCATGAAGACCTCAAGGTAGTCTTCCACCATGTCTGGGAAGATAGCTATCATACACGTTGAAAAATTACCAGCTCATTACACAATCCAAAAGGCATCCGTTTGAAGGCAAAAGTACCATATGGATGTGTAAGCATGGTTTTATCTTGATCTTGTGGAGCAATAAGAATTTAGTTGTAACTCGAATAACCATCAAGAAAGCAATAGAAGGCACGACCGGCCAACTTATCCAGCATTTGATCCATGAAAGGGAGAAGAAAATGATCCTTCCATATGACTTTGTTGAGCGTTCCTTGTGATCCTTCCTTGACTTTGTTACGATAATCCATACAAACTCTCCAATCGGTGACCATTCTTATAGGAATCAACTCATTTTTATCATTTGAAATAACCGTTATGCCCCCTTCTTTGGGACACACTGAACCGGAGAAGTCCATGAATTATAAAAAATAGGGTATACAACCACGAAATCCAAGCATTTGATAATCTCTTTTTTGAACACCTCTTCCATAGCCTCATAGAGTCTTCTTTGATGTTCAATGGACAGTTTATCACTATCCTCCAACTTGATATTATGCATGCAAAATGCGGGGCTTATACTCTTAATGTCCGCCAAAGTCCATCAAATAGCTTTCTTCCTCTTTTGCATTACCTCCAATGTTGAATCAACCTCCATATTAGTAAAACAAGAGAAAAGAATAACTAGTAAAGTAGAACAAGGGCCAAGAAATTCATACCGAAGGTGAGGTGGCAATGATTCCAACTCCAAGATTGGTGGCTCTTCAATTGAAGGCTTTGTAGGAGGAGTCTTCCTATTCTTAAGATCCAATGACAACTTTCGGGGTGCATAGTTGTAAAACCCCATTCTTTGCAATGAATTCACATACTCCATAAAACCATCCATCTCATCATCATCAAAGTTAAGCAAAACGGCTTCCAACATGTCACCAACATTGATTGTAGCACTTGTGTAATCAATAAGGACATATGTCACCAAGTCCACAAAAGAGGACACTTCATTGCTATTTGATTGTTGTATAGACTTGTACACATGGAATACCACACATGAAATATCATTTGTTCATCACCAACCCGAAAAGTGAGTTCTCCGGCTTGAACGTCACAAAGGTTCTTACCCGTAGCAAGGAAAGACCTCCCAAGAACAATAGACACTTCATAGTAAACCTCACAATCTAGAATCATAAATTCCACCAGAAGAATAAATTTATCAACTCGGACCAAAACATCCTCAATTACTCCTAACAGTCACTTCATTGTGTGATTGGTCATTTACAACCTCATAGAAATGGGTCTTGGTTTCCCAATCCCCAAAATTTTGAACACCAAATATGACATCAAATTGATACTCGTCCCAAAATCACAAAGAGCTTTAGCAAAATCGACACTTCTAATAGTACAAAGAATTGTAAAAACACTGGGATGCTCCAACTTAGGAACCATGGAATGAATAATTGCACTTACTTGCTGAGTGACCTTGATTGTTTCAAAATTTATCAACCTCTTCTTGGTCACAAGATCTTTCATAAACTTAGTATAATCTGGGATTTGTTCCAAAGCTTCTTTAGTGGCACATTAATAGAGAAAACCTTTCATTATTTGGATAAACCTTTTAAATTTATTCTTAGCATTTTTCTTAGTAAGCCTTTGAGGTTAAGGATGTGGGGGCTTTGGCAAGGGTGCCTTAGCCTTTTGCAATACCGAATCTGGTATGCTAATTATGTGTTCCCTAGACAAGTTTACCTCTTCTCGGGTCTCCTCCACACTATCATCAATATTAATTTGAACATCATCATGTACTTGAACATCATTTCGTTGGATTTCCTCTTTTTGGATTACTTGGTCATCATCCACAAGTTGCTTTTCATTTGAGGTGGGTGCATTCCCACCTCGTCCACTTCTTGTGATAATCACCATAGCATATCTCGTATTGTTACCACCGTTTGGGTTCACTACCGTGTCACATATTAATGAACTCTTAGGATGAGTATTAAGAGCTTGAAATTTTTTTCCCATTTGAACTTCAAGATTACGGATTGATATGGTATGTGAAGCAAGTTGGGCATCCGAATTCGCATTATTTTTCATCATTTTCTTGAACATGTTCTCAATAAGGAGGTGGTTGACCCATTTCATTACTTGAAGAACTTGAATCGTGGGAAGGATAACGAGGTGATTTGCTTGATTTTTAGTACATTAGGGGTCATTGAAAACCCGAACTTCAATTTGCATGATTATTATTATTTTCCCAATTTCCTTGATTGTTGCCTCCCCAATTCTCTTGGTTGTTGTTGTTGTTATGCCAATTTTATTGATTGTTAGAATCCCAATTGCCTTAGTTATTTTGAGAATGCTATTAATTTTGATTGGAGCCTTGAACGTTGCTTCGTTGCCCTTGGTAATTGTTTACAAATTGTACCTATTCTTCTTTCTCTTGATAAGAGTTATCTTATTCATAACTACCATTATCATGTACATAACTCTCCACTCGGGATTGCAATTGAGGGTCTTTAATCTTCTTCTTGTTGACCAAGACATTCACGCTGCCATAGCATAAACTTAATTAGGATCTTGAGTTTGATGAAGTTGAGCCTTAGCGAGTGGAGTCAAAGTTGTGGTTAATTCGGCAATAGCTTGCCCATGATCCTATAAAGTTAAGGAATATAAAACGCTTGTTATAATAATAAATCCAACGCGAGTCAGGGTCGAATCTACAAAGACTTTAAAATGGATATTGAGGTAAATGCTCAAGAAAGAAACGTGAAATAACAAAATTTAGCTTCCAAACAAAAGTGGATAACAATTCTTCTAAGTTAAATTGCTAATAAATTTAACTAACTAATGAGCAAGTAATGATTGAAATATTTTTGGTCTTTTTATCAAATAGAGAAAGGCTTAGGGTTGTAACCTTAACCTAGGTATAAACCTAATAAGTAGAGTAAATCTATGCTTGCTTAGTAGATCGAAGTTTGTTATGACTCTCAATACACAAGTATCCACTCAATACCTATCGATAAAAGAGTGATTCTGTCAAAACTGGTTCTTTCAAGTCCAAATGGGTAGCAATCAAAGCAATTGATTATAAGTCCAAGTTAGATCATCCCTATCTCTAGTTCAAATCCTTTAATCAAACTAATCGAAACTTAACTAGTTCAATTTCTTATTAGCCAAATTTTTCTAGATTAAATTCCTTTTTCTCAAGTAATAAACAAAGTCAAATAGGCATGAATCAATGTTTGCAATCAATAATTCTAATAATAAAGCATAAACAAGGCTAAATAATATTAACACAGTTGTCACGACCCGGATTTTCCACCATCGGGAGTCGTGATGGCGCCTACTAATGTGAGCTAGGAAAGCCAATTATTGAACAGATTACCTTTATCTATTTTTAATACCTTTTAGCATATATAAAGCAATAGTGTGAAAAACAACGGAAATTTCATTAAGCGGAAGAAATGTAGTAAAATATCTGAAATATGAATCTAATACAACTCTTTAGGCCTTAATCACCCAGAACTGGTGTCACAGTACCACAGATGATCTAAGAGTGCTAAATACAAAGTTTGAAAATAAAGATACACTGTTTCCGAATCAAAGAAATGAAACAGGAAATAAAGGATAGAGGAGACGCCAGGGCCTGCGGACGCCTGCAGGTCTACCTTGGATCTCCGCGTGGACTGAAGGTAGCCACCCAAATGCTATGGTTCAAGAGCTGCTCCGGGATCTACACATAGTGCAGATTGTAGTATCAGCACAATCGACCCCATATGCTGGTAAGTGCCTAGCCTAACCTCGGTAAAGTAGTGACGAGGCTAGGACCAGACTATCAAATGAACTTGTGCAGTTATATAATATACAGCGGAAAATAAAATAGGAATAAACAAGTAAAAATGGAAGGGGGAAACATGCTGCGGGGGTGTATCGATATCAACAACAAATCAAGAGTAACGACATAAGGACAACTTAGAATTCACGGCAAAACAATAAGAAACTTGTATCCAATCTATAAACACTTTGTATCAACAATTGTTGCGGCGCGCTACCCGATCCCAATATATAACAACACTGTTGCGGCGTGCAATCCGATCTATATCATTTATCAGTATTGCGGCGTGCAACCCGATCCACATATATCATTGTTGCGGCGTGCAACCTGATCCACATATATCATTATTGCGGCGTGCAACCCGATCCACATATATCATTGTTGCGGCGTGCAACCTGATCCACATATATCATTATTGCGGCGTGCAACCCGATCCAAATATAGTATTGTTGCGGCGTGCAACCCGATCCACATATAATATTGTTGTGACGTGCAACCCGATCCAAATATAATATTATTGTGGCATGCAACCCGATCCACAATAATATTGTCATGGACACATGAAACACTGGATGCACGGCTGATAAGCTCGGCGGCAATGCAAGTCTATAAGACACCTCTCCTACGCGATCAAGAATCTCAAACGGGCCAATGAACCTAGAGCTAAGCTTGCCCTTCTTCCCAAATCTTATCATGCCCTTCATAGGCGACGCTCGCAGCAATACCCGCTCACCGACCATGAATGCTAAATCAGGAACCTTACGATCGGCATAACTCTTTTGCCTGGACTGAGCTGTACGAAGCCTATCCTAAATGATCCTAACCTTGTCCAAGGCATCCTGCACTAGATCCATACCCAACAACCGAGCCTCTCCCGGCTCAAACCATCCAACCGGAGACCGATACCGCCTACCATATAAAGCCTCATAAGGAGCCACTGAATGCTCGACTGATAGTTGTTGTTATAGGCAAACTCTGCTAAAGGCAAAAACTGATCCCACGAGCCTCCAAAGTCAATGACACAAGTTCGGAGCATATCCTCCAAAATCTGAATAGTCCGCTCGGACTGCCCGTCCGTCTGAGGATGAAACATTGTGCTCAACTCAACCAGTGTGCCCAACTCTCGTTGAACTGCTCTCTAGAAATGGGAGGTAAACTGTGTACCTCGATCCGAAATGATAGACTTGGGAACACCATGAAGACGAACAATCTCCCGGATATAGATATCTGCTAACCTCTCAGAATAATAGGAGACCGCCACAGGAATGAAATGCGCTGACTTAGTCAGCCTATCAACAATAACCCATACTGCATTGAACTTCCTCTGAGTCCGTGGGAGTCTAACAATGAAGTCCATAGTGATCCACTCCACTTCCACTCAGGAATATCAATATTCTAGAACAAACCACCAGGCCTCTGATGCTCATACTTAACCTGCTGATAATTCAAACACCGAGCCACATATGCAATGATATCCTTCTTCATTCTCCACCACCAATAATGCTGCCGCAAATCCTGATACGTCTTCGCGGCACACAGATGAATAGAGTATCGGGAGTTATGGGCCTCCTCTAAAATCAACTATCGGAGTCCATCCATATTAGGCACACAAACTCGACCCTACAATCTCAAAACTCCATCATCACCTAAGGTAACCTGCTTGGCACCTCCATGATGCACCGTGTCTCTGATGACACACAAATAAGGATTATCATACTGACGATCTCGAATACACTTAATGAAGAACGAGCGATGGTGTAAGCTAACACACGGCTGGGCTCAGAAACATCCAACCTCATGAACTGATTGGCCAAGGCCTGAGCATCCAAAGCAAGTGGTCTCTCACCGACTGGAATATAAGCAAGACTGCCCATACTGGCTGACTTCTTACTCAAAGCGTCGGCCACCACATTGGCCTTTCTCGGATGATATAAAATAGTGATATCATAGTCCTTGAATAGCTCTAACCACCTCCTTTGACTCAAATTTAGCTCCTTCTGCTTGAAGAAATACTGCAGACTCTTGTGATCCGTGAATACCTCACATGCCACGCCATACAGATAATGCCTCCAAATCTTCAACGCGTGAACAATGGT